GGGGACGGGACGACACACACCCCGGGAGTGGGTGTGTCTGAGGGCTCTGCCTGCCCAAAGCGGCAAGAGCTCCCCACCATGTGCTTGGAGATCACAGAATCACCCAAGAGTTTGGGTTGGGAGGGACCCTCAAGACCATCTGGTCCATCCCCCTGCCCCGGGCAGGGCCACCTTCCCCCAGCCCAGGCTGCCCAAAGCCCCGTCCAACCTGGCCTTGAACCCTGCCAGGGAGGGGGCAGCCACAGCTTCTCTGGGCAGCCTGTGCCAGGGCCTCACCCCCCTCACAGGGAACAATTTCTGCCTCAGATCCCATCTACATCTCCCCTCTGTCCGTTTAACTCTGTTCCCCCTCGTCCTATCCCTTCCCCTGATGACGAGTGCCCCCCCTGTTCCTGCAGCCCCTTTCAGCCCTGGGGGGCCGCTCTAAGGTCTCCCCGGAGCCTTCTCTCCTCCAGCTGAACCCCCCAACTCTCCCAGCCTGTCCTCACAGGGGGGCTTCAGCCCCCCCAGCATCTCCGTGGCTCCTCTGGCCCCGCTGGAGCAGGTCCGTGTCCTTCTGCTGTTGGTGCCCCAGAGCTGGACCCAGCCCTGCAGGGGGGTCTCCCAGAGCGGAGCAGAGGGGGAGAATCCCCCCCTCGCCCTGTGCCCACCCTGCTCTGGGTGCAGCCCAGCACACGGGGCCTTGCTGGGCTGCCAGCGCACGGTGCTGGCTCACAGGCAGTTTTCCACCCCCAAGTCCCTCTCCTGGGGGCTGCTCTCCATCCCCTCCTCGCCCAGCCTGGGTTTGTGGGTGGGACTGCCCTGACCATGCCATCTGCAATGTCAGGACATCCCTGGTGACCCCCAGCTGATCGCTCTGACCCACGGGAGCTCTGCATCGCGGTACTGACAGATCTGCTCAGAACAGAGGGGGTCTGGGAAGGTCCCTCAGAGATCTCCCACTCGTTAGCCCTGCTCAGCTTCTTCCCTCTGCGGTCACCATTACAGTGGACAAGCTGGTCCCTCCTGTGCCCTGTTCCTGGGGAAACAGTTCTCCAGCTTCACATTACCAGGACAGAGAGTTTTGCTCCTGAAAGGTGAGGAACTGGGGCCGGGTCTCCAGGCACCCTCCCCGCTGCCCCGTGCCTGTGCTGGAGGAACGCAGAGCTGTGTGCTGGCACGGGACGAGCCTTCTTGCTCCGCTCAGGCTTGTCCATTTGTGGGGCTCAGCCCCGGCAGGAACCTCCCGCGTCCGTGTGTCCCTCAACGTCCGCAGGGACGCTGCGTCGTGCAGCTGCCGCGAACGGAGCCCTGCTGCTACCAACTTCACCCCGGCCTGCTCGGGCACCAGTAACGGGGTCTGCACGGTGGGCAGCCCTCTCCTCCCGGAGCCAGGACCACTAACGGCCCCACCAGCTCTCTCCCAGCTAACTCGGGCACGTCCTTGGAGCTGCCACCAAACCCCAGCTGGTGCGTCCTGAGGCGCCTCCTCGGCGCAGGACCAGCCTGCATGGGGCAGCACCGGCCTCGCCGGACACGGAAAGGCCGCGGCCACCATTTCACCCGACTGAGCTCCAGGGGCCTGACCTGGGGCTGAAGGTGGCCCTACCTCAGGCCCCATACATGGGGACATTTTGTGTGAGGCATTTTCACCATGGAGCCGGCACAAAGCAAGCACAACTCCTGGGGAAGTCAGCCCTGGGGATTTGGGGGCCCGCCTGGCCAACGGGTGTTCCTGCCCGTGGCCAACATGAGCTCCGTGTGACCGTGCCCATTTCGGCCTCCCTGCTCCTGCTGGAGCTGCCCGTGGCCGTGGTGCCGGGCGGGAGGCTGACCCGCGGAGCTCCGGCTCCTTTGGGCCGAGCCTCCCCGTGAGCGAGGGGACGGTGACCCGGGCCAGTCCCTGGGGGTGCACCATGCCCGTGTGGGGCGGGCGGGGTGCTGGCCGGGCGGCTGTCGGGGAAGGGAGGAGCCCCAGGATGTGCGGTTTCACTCACCCCCTTTTCTTCTCCGCATGGAGGCTTGGAATCAAGAAACAAAAGACAACATGAATGGCATGCACAGTTCCTGCTTTCACCCCCACTCCAGCCTCGCTGCCTGCCTGCTGTGCCTCTGCCCCGCGCCCGGCATGCTGGCAGGGTCAGCCCCGAGGGCGGCGCGTCCCTGCCTCGCTGGGGGCTCTGGGGACCAGGGCTCAGGCAGGGCGGGGGTGCAGCACCTTGTGCACCCTCCCCTGGGTGGGAGGGCAGAGGGCGGGGACCCTCCACGCAGCCCCGCTGATTGCTGAGCAGGAAGGTGCGATGTCAGAATGTATTTAACACCTTGAGCCATGGAGAAACTCTTCAAAAAGCCTTTAACCCCTCCCTGTCCCCCAGGCCAGGTTCCACGGCACAGGAGTGCTCTGTTAGCTGGGAATCTGCTTTTTCAAGGGGACAACACGTGGCAAGAAAACATTAACGCGTGGCTACCGGGACGCGGGACGTTCCGCAAGCTGCAGGGCAGGGACAGGCTCCAAGAGGAACAGGGCAGGGACATCCGACGCAGCTCCCCTCAAGAAGCTGCAGGTAGGAGGGTCCCTTTCACTAACACCACCGTCCCCTCAGAAAAGGAGACTGGGCTCTAAACTCGCCCAGGGCTGAGGCGGGGGATGACGCCCCGCACAAAGCCTCTCCCTTCGCAGAAAAAGCTGAAGGATCAACCACCAGGAGACAAAGTGTGGGAGGAGGAACGATCCCCCATTTTCCCTGCGCCGTGTGCCCTGGGCATGTGTGGTGGGACTGGCTACAGCACACTCCCTGACCCATGGGACGTGGAGCAGGGACTGACCACCACGATCTCCTGGAAAACGTGTGGACTAAGACCGGTCATTGTCTACAAATCCCTTTCCCGGGAGACAGGGGCAGCTGCCGCTCCCAGGCCCTCTCCAGGTAGGAGAGAGGCAGCATCTAGATGCCAAATCCTCCGGGAGACCTAGAGGACTCATCTTTAATATATTCTCTGGCAGAGCTATTTCTCTGCTTTTCGTGACTTCCCTCTCCACGAGCTTGCTCCCCTCCCCCTCGAGCGAGAGCTCTGCTTGCCAAAACATGCAAAGGGGGCCCCTTCCCTCGCCCGCTGCGGGTTGCTGCGGTGCTGGTCATCCCAAGGCGATGCCCCACAGCCCACCCGGTGCTCGCCAGGCTCGGTGCCACGCTCGGGGGGCCCGGCCCCCTGCAAAGGTGCCTGCACGACACCATGTTCGCCCGAGACGGGCACATGCAGCTGGGGAACATGTTCCGACAGAGGCAACATGCTGCCTGTGTGTGCGAGCAGGCACCCGCCGCACCGGCTGGCAACGGCTTTCAGGAGCAGCAACCAAGAGGAAAAATATGAACCCCGGGGTCTGTGCAGATCTGTGCAAAGGGAAGGGTGAAAAGTGGACGAAACGGGCTATTCGGCACCGTCTCCTCATGGCTGCCTGCAAGCACCGTGCCTCCAGGCTCAGCAGTAACGGTCTGGAGAGGCGGGAGCGGGCGAGGGTGAAAAGGCAGTGGGCTCAGCACAGAATAAACCACAGCGACCATCAACCCGCTGACGCAAAAAACCCTTAAAAGCTGAGATTTGCCCCTTCAAACCTATGGTCGGGTGCTGAGCCCGAGCCCTCCAGGTCTGCTCTTTCCCGAGAAGCCTGGACAGGCAGTGGGACAGGGAGCAGAGCAGAGCAGGAAGGGGCGCGGAGCTTCCCTCAACGCCCCGGAAAAGAGGGGGGTGGCGGGGCCTCTGCCCAGGCTCCTGCCCCCCAGGCAGGGCAGGCGTCTGCCAGGCAGAGCCCCCGCGCCCCGGCCAGCACATCTGTACCCGTCACCTCATTTCCGCACGACAAAACCAGAAGTACAAATGGCAGAAGCGCGAGGCAGGGTGGGGGGCCGGGCCGGGCCGTGGCCGCTCCCTCTCGCTCTGCTGATGCTCCACGTCCCGCTCCCGTCCCGTGCTGCCCTGGAGGCTCCCCGAGAAGGAAGGGTCCCCCCGGCCCCCCCGCAGGCCGCGAGGGCCGCCCGGGTGCCGTTCCACTAGCCAGCCTCCCCCGCCACACC